TCAGCTGAATGCCTCTCAAAGTGAGAGTCTTTCCATTATATAGAGAAAATAAAGATTACACATCCCTAAAGATCCGCCATTCCTATCCCTAAAGATCATCTATTCTATCTATACAAATCTGCCATTGAATCCCTCTAAATCTGCCTTGCTATCCCTCCAAATCAGCTATTCTATCACAATATTTATTCATATGATTCTACAACAAATGTATATGATCATGCTAATTTATATCACTATATAATTACATTAATATATACAATCATTTAGTTGTCTATCATGCTAACAATGCCAACTACCCCGCGAGACAGCTGACCTAATAAATCTAAGATATTTGGTTGCTCTGTATTCAAAACCTCTGAAACGTATAAGCAAACTCACAAGTCTTCAAGTTCTTAAAGGCATCTATTGTGATCAGTGGAAAGATGTTGACCCTGTTGATTTAGTCAATCTTTGAGAATTAAGCATGCATGAGATTACCAAAACTTACTCACTAAACAACATTAGCAGCTTGAGAAACCTTAGCACTCTCAGATTGTTGTGTAAAGGTGATGAATCATTCCCAGCCCTTGAATTTGTTAATTCTTGTCAAAATCTCCACAAATTGTGGTTAGAAGGGAGAATTGAGAAACTGCCACTATCGGACCAATTTCCAAATTCCATCGTAATGATGGTTCTTTCGGACTCAAAACTCACAGAAGATCCAATGCTTATTTTGGGAATGCTGCCAAACCTAAGGAATCTCGAATTTTTAGAGCTTATGAAGGAAAAGAAATTACATGCAGTGATAACAGCTTCAGTCAACTGGAGATCCTTCATCTTGATTGTCTTGAGAACTTGGAAAGATGGCATTTAGCCACAAGTGCCATGCCTCTGATTAAAGGTCTTGGTATCCATCGTTGTCCAAAGCTAAAAGAGATTCCTGAGAGAATGAAAGACGTGGAGAGAACTCCTTTTCGATGAAGCTTTTCAAGGATATATTGATGTCCTATTTCGGCCTCTTCATAATCATAGAGGTAATAAATCTCAATCCCCAATGATTATTTCTTCAATTCCTTTTACTCACTCTGCTGCAAATGACGGTCCTAAACATTATAAGTAAACAGGTAGTTGATATATCTTTTGTATTTTACAGGAGAAGAAGCTGTCAATGGAAAAATGATTTTGTGAAGGTTTAGTTAATTGTTCTACTGTATGTTCTCTTGCTTATCAACATTTAAGATGATGGTTTATATGTTAAGTGATATTTAAAATAGTATATGATACTCTCTTGTCCACAATTTAGTGTTTTTTGTTCCTCCTTCAATAGCAAAGCAGTTCATTTATCTAACTAGCTTTGGTATCTTAAGTTTTTGGTTTTTGGTTTCAGACAGATTCAACAAGCTATAAAAGACACTACTTTTACTGCAAAATTAGAGATGCAACGCTGACGCCAACGCATACCAAAATAATCAAATCCTTAGAAGTCTAGTTTACTCACTCAAATTTAAGGACATGCCTTTTTCGCCTAACGTAATCTAACCTTAAAAGGAAATAATGTACCTTTCCCTTAGCTTTCTTATTTGTTATTGTCTATGAACTTAACAAGAAAGTAATTTTCCATGGAGAGAGAAAAAATCTATAACAATATCAAAGTGTATAAAGAATTTGATTTGGTAAGATATAACAAGAAAATATTTCTATTAAAAGGAAAAATAAAAAAGAAGAGTTAAGATATAATGAATATTTTCAGTTAAATATTTACATTCATCATCAATTCTATAACTTAAATTCAATACAAAATTGTGGATGTAATTATCACCATACCCAAACAAATTTATTAGGTGGACAATTAAATTGGACAACACATCATTATTACTGATAGACTTTTCTCCATATATACTTTCATTACTCTAATTTTTTCAAATGGGAACACTTTGATTTTCTCTTGCCCAGTCAAGTGGGTCACATTTCACTTTCATTGCTTTAATTTTTCTTGTTCATTTTCCACATTCGTGTTTGACATATTTGGCAATCATAAATCTTTTTATTAGGTGGACCATTGTACAACATATAATTATTTACTTTTAGACTTTTCTACATACATATATTTTCCCGCATGTTGTGTAATGGTTATTAAAGAAGCTTTAATACATATTTCATCCTTAACTTGGCTTCAGCGGACAACTATGCTCTCCAACTTTGAGTGTGCACAAGTAGACACTTAAACTTATATGAAATTGAACAAGTAGACAC